GGAGAGAAGAGGAAGGAGAAGAAGATGAGGGGGAGGCGGAGGAGGAGAGAAGAAGAAGAAGAAGAAGAAGAAGAAGAAGAAGAAGAAGAAGAAGATGGCGGCGGCAGGGCGGTAGTGTATGGTGGCGGGCTGCAGCGGCAGTCCTACAAGAAGAAGAAGAAGAAGAAGAAGATGGGCAGAAGAGGAGGAGGAGGAGAGAAGAGGAAGGATAAGAAGATGAGGGGGAGGCGGAGGAGGAGAGAAGAAGAAGAAGATGATGACGAGCGGAGCAGTTTTTTTTTTCCCTTACCAGTCATTTATCTTGCGACCTATCGCTGATGAATGGAACAAAAAAAAAAAGAAGAAAAAGAAGATAGTCGGAAGAGGAGAGAAGAAGAAGAAGAAGAAGAAGAAGAAGAAGAAGAAGAAGAAGAAGAAGAAGAAGAAGAAGAAGAAGAAGAAGAAGATGAGAGGGGGACGAGCAACGGGCGACTCCACAACGCTGGCAACGGGCGACGGGCGTCTCCACGACGCTGGCGACGGGCAACGGACGACTCCACGACGGCGGGCGAGTGCAGCTCCCAGGCGATGGCGACAACGGGCAGCGCGAGGAGAGAGGGCGGCTCAACGACGAACGGAGCAGCTGGAGAAGGGGCCCCGTTTGGACAGCCGATGCAGGCCGCCCCAGCCAGTGGATTGTTCAAACCGGGCCTTGGTTTTCCCTCCAAAAAACAAACGGCCCTCTGGCCGTCGATCATGGATGATTGACGGTCGGAGGGCCGTCAAAAATTCAAAAAAAAAAACAGGCCTCACGGGCCCGAAGCACCGTTTTCTGGGAGTGGTCGGACCCGGTGGGCCCTGGGGAGGCCAAATCTTGGCGATTCGGGGTCGGAACCCCCCCGCCAACAAGGTGTCCTGGGGGTGCCCGGCCCCCAACTGGGCCGCCCGCCCGGCCAGGTCGCCTGGGACCTCCCCCGGGCAGGTACTGGTCGGCCAAGCGGCCTGGATCCGTAGTCAGATGCCAATCCATATTTGCATCCAACTGGATTTCACTCCATTTATCCCACTGCGAGACCCACAGCCAGTTGTCTACATAATATAATATATTATGGATAATGTGATAACAAAGCTGCACACGCCTCAACACGTAAGTCCATATGTGACCTTGGTAGTATCATTCAGCTGAAGCCCTGCGACCTGGACAGCTGCTCCAGTTCCCCCTAGCAAGAGCGTCCTTAGATTGTCTTTCCTCATCAGCTCTTTCCCATGGCACAGGTATTGCCAGCTAGGAAACCCCTAGGTCTCCACAGGCCAGCAACCACTCAACCACTCACATGTGCCTGCCACTAGTTGAATACATAAGTCAGCTCCATTTCATTTCCTTTGCCAACCCATAAGCGAGGGATAATGGGAAACGAACAAGGCATAACCACAGAGACAGATCTGCTGATGCCACATATGTAGTCGACCCTTACCTCAAGCATCTCACAGTGCCCCAGGGCAGTCATGGATGAAGTATTGATGCCTTCACAACCCTCGAGCTTCATCTCAACAAGGTTAGGCATGCGCAGTCCCTGATCACACAGTCACCCAAGGAGAAACACACTTAGCGTTTTCGTATTCTAGAAGCTGTGTTCTAATTCTTTCCCATCACCTCCAAAACAAAAGCAGGCATTCCGAAATTCAAAACTTCCCTTCCACCCTCCTTGGCTGCACACTTTTGCTACGACAGCCATAGCCAGGGATATGAGGTGGCGAGAAGAACGACAAGGCATCGACAAAACAAGAAACACATTCAGTTGCCAACTGGCCTCGCTCAGTCAGTACAACCTTGAACTGTTGAAATCATGCTTGCGGCGCATAGGTGAAGTGCACTGCGCAGTTCGGTGCGCGCTGGGCGATGCGCTGATAGCAGATGCGCAGAAAAAAAAAAAGGAGAAAGAAAGAAAGCAGCAGCAACTGTGATGTGTGTATACAAGCTGGGGAGAGAGAGAGAGAGAGAGAGAGAGAGAGAGAGAGAGAGAGAAGAAAGAGCCCTTTCAAATTATTCAGACAACCCCTGACGGTACTTCACAAAGGTCCCCGCCAAAAATTGGCAAGGGTCCCGTTCACAGGAGAAGGGTAGGCACTCGACTTGGTAGTAAGGAGGGAGCAGGCCAGCTATATATAGTGTAGGTCCGAATTCAGTTGTGTTTCAGGTCCGTGTTTCAGCAGTTATGGGTTCATGACTTACTAACCGGCATGTGATTTTCAGGGCTCCACTCCACTACTCACCAAACAGCAAAACTTGAATGAATCTTCTCCTAGAAACTGGAACCATACAAGGCATATGTTTTTCTTTTGTGACGAGTGGAGGAGGCCCTTAGGGCCACTACACGTAAGAAAAGGACAAACAAAAAAACGAGACAGCTACTGTAGCGTTCGTAGTACTTCCGTAACCCATAACACTTGGAACACAGAGCTGAATCCGAATCCAGGACATATTGCTGGCCTGCTCATGGTCTTTCAGCAGTTTGGTGAACATCCTTCCAAATGCATCGGAAGCCTGCTGGTTCTTTGTAGAGGACCTTTTGGAAAAGAGAATGGATCCAACGAGTAGCACGAAGTGGGCCAAAAATAGTTTTTTTCTCTGCATTTACAATTTTCAAAAGGGAGGGACACATTTGGTTACCACCACCTACCCTTTTTTATTTTTTTTGTTTAATTAATTTGTAAATGCGCCGCATCACGCACACACGCACGTGTGCACGTACACTTGGCACACATGATGCCCCGCATGTATAGTTGAAATACAGACCAGAGTTCAAACTCCACTGGGAGCAGACGAGTGAAATATTACATTCTGAATAACCCAGGATCGGTCAGTTCGATGATACCATCTCACGGCCATCGCCCCTTTTGAAAAAAAAACAAAGAGAAACACATTCAGTCAGTTACCTATGCCAACAATCTTCCCCTTGTCAACTGCCGCGCCATATTCCTCACCAAAGCTTGCCATTTCAATATACAAGTCACAGAGAGCTGCCCGATAAACCATAGAGGCATAAAGGGAGAAAAGGACAGAAAAAGGGGGAGACTGTTTTGTTGCTGACTCATCAAAAGGCTGAAGGCTCTGAAGTCTGCAGAGCCCCCTAACCGATCTGGTACAGTTCTGTTGTGCACTACTCAATGTACGGTGCCCAAAAACGTTGTTCAGCACACCATTAAAAAAACATTTCCAATTGTTAACACTCGACAAAAGAGACATCGCCTCAGCAAAAAGCAGCTTGCAATCATTTTCCATTGGACTCATAGACTGCGCCGCACTGCACCACACGTGCACTTTATGAACTCGAGCAGTGCACACACCATGATATAATTGTGTATATCCTAAACTAAATGTATATGCAATACATGTGCGCACACCATGATATGATTGTGTAGGCCATGGTCTGCGAATATGCATAACCATCCATCAATTTAAGCAGTCAAAACAAACATCTGCGACCCTCAGTAAGCATTTTGAACCCAACAGCCAAACATTCATCTTCACCCTTCCCATTTCTCGCACCTCCACAAAGGAAGCTTCAAACTGGATTCCAACTTGTTGGGATGCTAGCACAGTCTGTGGTCATTCATCCGCATCATACATTGAATCGAAACTCGCAAAGAAAATGGGGTTTTGCAAGCTAACCTCAAGAGCAAGACCGGGACAGTGTGACGCATCAAGCTTGGTGAGGGAAGGGCATGCCACAGCAATATCACGAAGTGTCTCATCTGTGACGTTTTCGCAACTTTTCACATCAAGAACCTGCAACAGCGGACACAGTGTGGCAGCCGCCCGCACGCCGGAATCCGGAAGTTTGTGACAGTTTGAAACGTCCAGATGAAGCAATTGCGGACAAGTCAAAGATGCGGAAGCTGCAGAGGTGCTTTTCAATGAAAGGAACTCCAGCTGCGGACACCTGCAATTACAACACGGGAACAGCATCATATCATTATCGGATTCCATGCATTCCTGGCATTATCCTGCACAACCCTCCACTCTAAAGAAATTTCTCGC